GAACACAACCAACATGCGCTTAAATCCAATCTTTATTCCGCAAACAACATCAGAAAAATGAAGAATGGAAAAGCAGTCTGACCTGAAAAAACTTTGGCTGAAGCACCGAAGTCAAACATAGAATTAACTCCAAACATGAAGTACATGTGCCACCGACAGACTGTAAATAAGGATACCGTATCAAAATGCCGAACAAAGAAGATCTGAGTCAATGCGAAAACTACAGAGGAATTACACTACTATCGGTACCAGGAGACTTTTTCAGCAGTGTTGCTGAACGAGATGAAAGATTCAGTGGACTCCCGATTTTGAGGTCGACAGGCTGGATTTCGTAAGGATCGGTCGTGTACAGACCCTAATCGTGACACTACGAGTTATTGTCGAACAATCGATTGGATGGATATTGTCACCATCTATTAACTTCCCTGACTATGAGAAGGCGTTTGACAGTGCGAACAACCTAGTGGAAAATTTTTCAGCAACATGGAGTGAGTAGCTGACAACTTCATCAACACCTTGGGGGACTCATACGACGGACCGCAATGCGAAATCGTGCTTGGAGGACAGCTGACAGATGCACTTCAATTGAGAGCCGATGTCAGACAAGGTTGCTTACTCACACCATTTCCCTTTCTTCCAGTGGTTGGCTGGATCATAGCGACCTCAAAATCTGACAGGAAGTACGGGATTCAACGGAAGGCTTGGAGGTGGCTAGACGATCCGGACTTTGGGAATGACCCAGCTCTTCTATCCTACACACACCAAAAAATGTAGGTGGAGACGACTAGTATATCGGGAGCCTCTGCAATAATGGATCTCAATATACAAAAAAGGAAAAAAGTGAGATCTTAAATATAACACAGCAAGCACCGAACCAATCACAATTAATGAAGAAGCCCTGGAAGATGTGGGAAATTTAACGTATCTGGGTAGCATCATCGATGAACTTGGAGGATCTGATGCAGATATAAAGGCGAAAATTGGCAAAACAAGAACAGCACTCCTACAGTTGAAGAACATGTGGAAATTAAAACAACTGTCAGTCAATATCAAAGTGCGAACCTTTAATAAAAACATCAAGACAGTTCTACCGTACGGAGCTGAAAATTGGGAAACTACCTCAACCATCATAAAAAAGTACAATTGTTTCTATGCAAGATACTGAATGTCCACTAACCAGATAACATCAGCAACAATCAACTGCAGGGGAGAACAAAACAGTTTGCAGCTGAGGAGGAAATTAGGGAAAGACGCTGAAAGTGGATAAGATATACATAACGGAAGTCACCAAACTACATCATGACGCATACGCTAACTTAGAATCCTGAAAAGGAAACGGAAAAGAGGACGAAAAATGAAATACATTGAGCCGGGAGTTGGAAGCATACATGAAAAGGATGAATAGCACTGTACAAAACTGTAAATGATTGCCTGGTACGGAGTTGAATAAAGAATGCTGGTAAGTGACGTATGCTCATCCACGAGGAACAATAGCCGTAAGTAACCGGTATAGGTATGTTAGAGTGACTGCTCGCCAGCGTCATAACATAATAATTGAAAATCTCCATGCGTGACTCGGATAAGTACCAGGCTACCATGATGTGTGGATCTGTCTTAGAGTATATGGTCGACAGTTATTATATGGCTGATAAAGTCAAGTTATTAAGTGTGATATATCCTATAACGCTGTCGTTTCCAAATGAGATTTGATCCCACTACATGCATATAGCCAAATTTATGGACATCCGGACCTATCACTTTAGACCGTGTGATCAGAAGAAATTCGTGACACTCCTGTCCCTACATTAGCCGGACATGACTCAATAAATTATTTTACTATCTTTACACAATCTGTATTTCTTTGTCTAATTATTAACACGCATATTATTCATTCCTAATAATCATTGGTGACTGTTATTTGAAAATCTGTTTGTCGAAGATTGAACTACTTTCCACTTTGAAAAATTGGCTAGAACTTGTATTATTTTATCAAGTTTATCATTACTTGTACAGTTGTGTTCTTACAATCAAACTTTACTTCTTTTATTATGCGTAGTTAGTGCTATGTATTTCTTGTGATCACTGACCCATGAACTTCAGTTGAGTTGATACTTTCATGCACCTGTATACCCACTCACGTTTATTTCAGTAAAGCTTTATGGAGATGCAATATTGTTTGTCTATATTTGATATTCTAACATACAGTCGGCGTATTTTTAACATTATTCATAAGTCCAAGGGTGCGCCATCATTTTTGTTCACCGTCAGTTGATTGGGATGGAAGAATACCGTATATATTTAGGGTTGGATAGGAGATTAAATAAATGCGAAGTGTAAATGGTGGTTTTATGAGTAAAAAAGTAGTCAAAAGTATTTGCAAAGTACAGTATTGTTATATTTATTAGAAACATACCGTCATTTCCATGTAGTGCAGTAAAGTAAATAAAAAGGCTCAATCATTCAGTCACAATGTTTATTATACAAAATGAAGGATAAGGTGTCACAGGTTGTCTTAATCTAACATACAAACATTCAGTACAAAGACGCAAGAAACATAATTCCCAGAAAAGTTAAAGAAGTGAATAACTTTGAAGCTCTATACTACTTATATTCTAATGTTTCGTTGTTAATTGACTCTTATCCATACTGTTTCATCGCTAGAGATCCAGCATCAAAACTCACTGGAATACAAATTACTCAAGAGGTTATCTGGAGAATATCTGTCCAATACGGTTTATATGCAAGTGAACAAGAGACTTTCAACTCCAGACGAAATCACTGTTAAGACATCGGCTTACTGATGGCGGATGGTCATCCAAAATTTTGTATAAGACGAGGCAGAATTGAGGGCTTTTAAGACTATCGTTGTAAGGCATGTTTGATGGGGAATCTCTACTCTCATTATGAAAAGATCTAATATCCCTGGGACCAGTTTATGATTTGTGATAGCCATGTAGAGGCAAATGAATCCCCATAATAAATAGTTCTGTAAGTCTCCCACACTGATGTTGACACCATTATCTCTATCAGTCAAAGAAAAAGAAAAGAATTCAAACGACAAGAAGAGACGAATATAGAAAGATTTCGCTTGTATTCTGTGTTTGCCAGTGCTATCTTACGAAATACTTTTAAGACGCCAAAATTATTCGGATTACTAAGAGTGCCTTTACCACTGAGAGGAACTGTGTATGGGGGTCTGACACGTCGCGCCCATTGAAGTCAGCTTCTGTGCAACAGAACCAGGCTTCTGTGTTATCGGGCCAGAAGGGCATCAGGTGAAACGAGGGAGGCGAAAAAGTCTTAATCTTAAATAACTTAGGAGTCTGTTTTAACATGATGACTATAACGTATACCAATGAACGAGAAAATAAGTTCGAAAATATGAAAACAAAATTTCAATATTATCAGAAGGGTTTTGTGGAGTATTTAGTAATTTTATAATTGAATTTATGGGTCAGCTGAAGCCATACCAACATGGAAAACCTGGAAGTACTGGATGGCTGTTTCGTCTTATTATGGGACTCCTCATCAGTGGGCCCGAATCTCGCGGATCGAGATCGTGGATGCGCACTGCTGAGGAGTCCCATACCAGGACGAAACGGTCGCCCAGTTCTACAGGTTTTCCATGGTGGTTTAGCTTCAATTGACTAATGAATTCAAATATAAAACACCACAATGTGTAAAAATGAAAATTGAAAAGTCACATAAGATGTTCCAACAAGGAACAGACTCACAATTTACGAATCGGTGTACCAGGTCACGTCGGGCTCACCATTGAAGATGCCACAAGTAGTCATACTTCGACAACGCCTTTAGAAGTAAAGATGCCACATTATTTGGAGTTTGAAATTGCTTTAAACAGTAACACCTTCCACTATGAATCGTAACCACTAAGTGAAACCAAAAGATAGAAGTGAGGAGTTTCGAAGACATTTTTGATAGGCTATCAATAAATTGAGGATCGTCTGATCTAATCTGGCTAGCGATTGCAAGAGATGTTGAGGATGGTGTTTCCACTCGTGATCTGGTGCAGATGTATGACCGAGCACCTTCAGCTAGGTGAGTCCATTAAGAACAGTATGGCCAACAACCAATGTCGAAGACTTACAGAGCTATTTATTTTGGAGATATGTTTACTGTTACATCAGTAACACATTTATCATCAAAGTATACCTACACAGTCAAGTCAGAAGTTAGAAGTAAAGATGTTCGAAGATATATTGAAAGGCTTTCGATATCTCGAGAAGCGCTAGACCTAAGCCGGCTAACGGTTGTATATATGTAGCACGGAGTACCCAGTAGTGATCCGGTGAAAATGAGTTACTGAGTGCCTTCTGCTAGATGTGTCCATTTAAACTAATTCGATTGGCATCGGATGTCAAATACTTGCAGAACTATTGATTTTTGGGGGTTTTTTCCGCCACAATTCCGTAATCGGTAATCCCGAAGAAAGTTAACTCAGTAGTCCGGAATGAAAGAGTTCGAATATATATTTGGAAAGTAGCATGTAAATTAGGCTGAACAGTTGTTGCAAGGAATGTGTAGTACGGCGTACCGACTGGTGATGCGTTGAGGATGCGTGAACAATCGTCTTCAGCTGGGATGTGTCCAGTTAAGCTATTGAGGTAAGTATTAATATCAAAGATTTAGTAAACTTTTTTTACCGCTACAATAGTGATAACTTTCTTAAGAGAAGTATCAAAGAGGTTATTTAACTGACAGACTCTTATGGCCAAGACCACTCTAAATCTTTGAACCGTCATTTTGTTCCAGAATAATCTTATACAACAGGGTTTTATTGTAAAAATATTTCCTGAATTAGATATGGTGGCTAGAAAGCTGAATTTACAAATAAGCAGCCTCAGGGTAGGTCAGTTAAAATAGAATTACACAATATACTGACCACTATAGACTATATCATTTTTAGTTGATTGGTTGTTTTAGTGGTCTACTTTGTAACGCGGGGTTGTACTGTTTCACTTCCATACTCATCTGTTGTCATGTCTTCGTTTCGTGCTGCTGGACTAGTTGCACGGCAGTTGTCTAATAGAAATCCATGTGTGAGTTGACTTATGAATGCATCTACTTTTTCGGTCTATATAAACCCAAAATAAGCAGGTTTCAATCTGTTGCGGTTTCTTTTGTCGGTGTAAGAGTCATCCTGATGGTCTTTTTGACATATAACTTTAGTAATAATTCTAGTAGCGACCTCCTATTTCTCGCTTTGCAGCCCTTCTCATCCCAGGTAGTTATATCTCTTAGATTATCGACCAGTACTTACGTCAGGTTGATTCCTAGAAATCACATTGGTATTATATGCTATAGCGTTAGTACAAGTTACCTAGTGAATGCGTTTGTATAAATCTGATTAAGAGTATGTGTTGGTCCGGGTCGCCAAGACAAAAGATGTTGACAGCGAGTGATCAAAATAGTGTATTTCATCAGGGGAAAACTCGTTGAGAATGTATTAGATGACATGACATTAAGACGAAATCGTCCATGCCCGTAGTTTGCTTCAGTAACTTCACAAATATAGTATATCAGTCTTTCAGCCAGAATTCGGTGGAACAACTCCTTACTGATAATGGAACTTATCATAAGTTATCCGAGCTCCAGGCAACTTAATTCTAGGGTTTTAAAACAATCCGTCCAGTTAATTTATTTTTAAACCTGTATATTATACGTTCGTATCCTGTGCTGGAAATTTTTAGAAACAATACTAGAATCACAACTTTTATATGTGTCAAAGTTAGACTGCACCTTAAAGCGTGACCGTTTAAACCAACAAACTTCTAGGAAACATCAAGATGAAATTTGCAAGAAAAAAGTATAGTAAATATGCGCAAATCATATTCGCTGACAGAAAGGAAGTGTGTAGCGGAGTATTTGATTTGCAGACCAAAATCTCTAGTATATGGTGAGTTCTGACTTGCTGCCTAAGGTCCAGTATTCTAACGTTTCGGTTACATCTATGGACCATCCCCACTTGCCTCAGCCTGCACAACTGTGTGGCAGTACCTACTCTTGCAAATACCAAGTATACGAACACGTTCTGTTGAGGAAGTGCATCATTAAATATTCGGATGTCCATATTAATACATATTAATTTGTCTTAAGAACTGGTATTTTTCATAGACCTGACTTGACTAAGTAAGAGCACTTATAGAATGGATCCATGTTAACAGTCATCTATGTGCTGTTCGGCTAGACAGCTGCGTAAGAACTCGGAAAGATAGGAACACACTCTGTTGCCTTTTCGTCGTTTCTGCATATATTTGCACCGACTGCAGCCAGGATGAAGTGAAAGATGACTTAGAGAAAGCTAAACGCTCAAATATAATACTCGTAATGGGTAACTTTAATGCTCAAGTAGGTAGCTTAAGTCAAACTCTAAGACATGTAGGTAGGTATTTTAGTATCCCGGCTCAGCGAACAGATAATGGTGATCGTCTGCTGCAACTGTGCTAAGACAATGTTTTATTTTTAGCAAACACAAATTTTAAGCATAAGGAGAGACATCATCTAACATGGCGACCCCTTGCACCAGACCAACGATGAATTCAAATAGACCATATTGCCATCATTCGTCGTTGGAGAGGCTCGATAGAAGACCGTTGCTCGTTCTACAATACCTGCTTGGATTCCGGGCACGCATCTGCTTGCGCCTCACAAGACGCAGAGAAACCACATTAAGAAGACCCATTAAAATTGAACTGAGTGACGAGAAAGCCGAAAGTAGATTCCAGGATCCACTGAGGCAGCTCTTAAAACGAAGCTGACCCAGATGTTGCTTGGAAAGATATGCAAACAGCTGTGGAAATAGCAGTGACATTTATTAGCGATTTAAACCAAAGGGTTACAAAAAACCAATAAATTTCTAAGTCTATTGCACTGATGGATTCTCGTAAACTCATCACATCAGGCTCCGAACACGATGAAGAGCGAAAACAAATCAGATCTAGGTTAACCAAAAGTACAAGGGACGACCATGAGCAGTGGTGGGCAACGAAAGCAAGTGATGGGAAAGGCGGCGACTATAGGGAACACAGGAAAGCTCTACAGAATAATAAAAGAAACTGAAATTTATAAAAAGTCAAGTGTGAGACGATCGCCAAAAAAGGGTGACGTTCTTATCTGCTCTCTACTCAGACGTTTAGAACGATGGGCGGAACACTAAGGGGCTGTTCAGCAACTACCACGACCCACCATTCCGAACAGCCTGAATGGATCATTGTAGTAGGCTCCCGACTCTGATTAAAGTCCAAGAAACCATAGCTAATCTGAAACAAGGAAGAGGAACTGGTTCAGATGTATTGGCTCCAGAGGTCTTTAAGCATGGTGATCCAATTTTGGCGATTAGGTTGATTAATATTTTAGAACCTGGGAGTTGGAGATGGTCATATCTGATTGGTCGCAATCACTAATTGTCCCAATATATCAGGGGTGATCGACACCATCCTGTGATAACCACAAAGGGATTAGATTGACTAAAATGCTAGCCTCAATAGTTATCGGGCGCATGACAAAGACGGGCGAACTGTAAACACGAATAAATCGGGCTGGTTTCAGACATAGTCGTGGCTGCATCGACCACATATTCACCATTCGTCAGGTTCTAAAACAGGCATGCTTATAGGCGTCCGACAATGATAGTTTTTCTTGACTTGAAAGTAGTATTTGACTCTGTAAACCGAGAGGTTCTATGGCAGTGTCTGTCACTGAAAGGTGTACCTCAGAAGTACATAAACCTTGTGAAGGTTCTCTACTACTACTAGTCGAGTCAGAGTTTATGGCGAGCTGTCATCTGATTTCGCAGCCTCAAGTGGTGTCCGTCGAGGCTGTTCATTATCTCCATTTTTGTTCAATAACGTCATATATCTACTGCTAGAAACAACGTTCTCGTTGTCTAAATTTTCAGAAATTAATCTCCTAGGAGGTCCACTTATCGATTTAGAATACGCGGATGATATAGTCCTGTTTGGTGACGACTGGTAAAATAGTCTTGGTAACACTGAGCAACAACACCGATATGTTTAGGATGCGGTTCTACCCCTCTAGATACAAGTTGTTGCTTCACGACTGGTCTGCGTCATCACCTGAACCAAGGTTGGAGAGTGAAGTAGTTGAACGCGTTGACAGCTTCACTTGGAAGTCTGATCAGCCCTAATGCGTTGAAGTCTGACCAAATCTCTGCACGGATTCAAAAAGCTCGTTTGGCTTTTGACAACTTACGTCACCCTTGGAGAAGGCGAGATATCCGTTTATCAATTAAGGGACGAGTATACTACGCAGCAGTTCGTTGTGTTCTATTCTACGGCAGCGAAATGTGGCCATTAAGAGTAGAAGATACTCGTGAGTTACTAGTACTTGATCACAGATATCCTAGAAATATTGCTCGCATCTGCTGGGATCACCGGGTAAGTAGTAGTGAGATTAAACGCCTTGTACCTTTATTTCTACGAACTGCTTCATTACTGTATCCTTATACTCAATCTTTTATATAATATTACCATTTAAGTAACTACTATGCATATATGTGCCTGGTCCTACGTTGTGACTGACTGAGCCTTATAGTTCTGTTACTTCATGTAGTTTAGGTGTTTGTAAAAGGCTCGTTTTGTAATTAGACCATGATTTCCAAGCTGTAAGTTTTCGGGTTGGAATCTTGTTCTATCGGCTTGGGCTGGTGTGCATATTCAGTCAGGTTCTGAAATGAAAGGAAATGTTTGTTTTTGATAATTAAGCTTCATTGTCACTAAATGTAAAGTGCACAATGCGATGGTAAAAAGCAATCTCACACGTGCTACTGATGATCCTAAACCGTGTAATTCAGAGTCTAACTATTCGTTACAATATTTGCGTAGACTCTAATCATGTGATCCTCACCAACCTACATAACTCAGTTCAACAATCAGTGACTATGGAATTTTGCTGCGTCTTGATCTGACTGCCTTTAACTTATCTCTAGTCTACTACACCAGACGCATCCCACTTATGCCCATTTGTTGGATGACTTGACCATATGCTTTATCATTTTCCTTTGACAACTATCGGTTTGTTCCGTTAATTTTAACTGAACCACTGACATACATAAAAGCAAAGATAAAATTGAGGCTTTTTATTAAAATAAAAGAATTCTAGTTGTTTTGTTTCTCTAAAATATGTTAACCTAGAGCTGTTTATAACACCCTTTTCCTCTGCATCATGATATCACAGCCTATATTTTTCAATTCCTAGTTAATTTAGCACTTGTTATTATTAGCATGTACATTGCATACATGTTGCTACTGATCTGTAAAATTAATGTTTTCCTCTCTTTTTAGGTATTTAAACAACTTGGATGCCGATGGCTATCCACTTCATCTACCTTAAAAGCTGGAGCCCCAGAATTCTCCAGTATTTTAGAGGAACGCATTTTAGGACAAACATTACAAACAAACTTGGAGGAAACTGGACGTGTCCTGAGTATCGGTGATGGGATCGCACGTGTCTATGGTCTGAAAAATATACAAGCGGAAGAGATGGTGGAATTCTCGTCTGGATTAAAGGTATAACCATCTAAAGTGTTAACGTTCCTTAGGGTATGGCTCTAAATTTGGAGCCTGACAATGTTGGTGTGGTCGTTTTCGGGAATGACAAGCTAATCCGTGAAGGAGATATTGTTAAGCGGGCAGGGGCCATTGTTGACGTGCCTGTCGGAGTAGAGCTACTTGGTCGGGTAGTTGATGCCTTAGGTAATCCAATCGATGGAGCAGGTGCTATCAATACGAAAACAAGACAGCGTGTTGGAGTTAAAGCTCCAGGTATCATACCACGTATTTCTGTTCGTGAACCGATGCAAACTGGAATTAAGGCTGTTGATAGTCTCGTTCCCATTGGCCGTGGTCAGCGTGAACTAATCATCGGAGACCGTCAGGTATTTTTAAAATTTTCAGTAGTGTGATTCGTCTTTAGACAGGTAAAACGGCTATTGCAGTCGATACTATTATTAATCAAAAGCGTTTCAACGACGCAGCTGATGAAAAGAAGAAGTTGTACTGTATCTATGTTGCCATCGGACAAAAACGTTCAACAGTTGCGCAACTAGTCAAACGTTTGACGGATGCAGATGCTATAAAATACACAATCATTGTGTCCGCAACAGCATCTGATGCAGCTCCGCTTCAGTACTTGGCTCCATACGCAGGGTGTGCGATGGGAGAATATTTTCGTGATAATGGAAAGCATGCATTAATAATTTATGACGATCTATCTAAACAGGCTGTTGCTTATCGACAAATGTCACTTCTGTTACGAAGACCTCCGGGGAGAGAAGCTTATCCTGGTGATGTGTTTTACTTGCACTCTCGATTACTGGAAAGAGCTGCTAAGATGAATGATTCCTATGGAGGCGGTTCACTAACAGCCCTTCCAGTCATTGAGACTCAGGCTGGTGATGTATCTGCATACATTCCAACGAACGTTATCTCTATAACTGATGGGCAGATTTTCTTGGAGACTGAGTTATTCCATAAAAGTATAAGACCTGCTATCAATGTTGGTCTTTCTGTTAGTCGTGTTGGGTCTGCTGCACAAACTAAAGCTATGAAACAAGTTGCTGGTCGCATGAAACTAGAGTTAGCTCAATATCGAGAAGTAGCTGCTTTTGCTCAATTTGGTTCTGACTTGGATGCATCTACTCAATCGTTGCTAAACCGGGGTGTTCGTTTAACGGAACTCTTGAAACAAAATCAATATGGTATGTAAATCTAAAACTAATCACTCATTTTATTTAGCTCCAATGGCAATTGAACAACAGGTTGTTGTAATATACGCTGGTGTTAGGGGACATTTGGATAAGTTGGACCCATCAAAGATTATCCACTTTGAGAAAGATTTTCTTAAGTTTGTCCTAGCAAATCATCAAGATCTCCTAAAGACCATTCGTGAAGATGGAGAATTAAAGCCAGCAACTGATGAAAAACTGAAAAAGATTGTAGTTGATTTCTTGGCTGGGTATCAAGTGTCTCCATAGACAATCAAATAAAGTATGCAACTATGGTAGTATCTTTTCATAGGATTGGCGAGCTCAATAATGTTATTTGCAGATTTCCGTCACCAGTTCTTTGTACTTAGTCTTATTAATAATAAAATTACCTTGAAAGAAAAGTGCTTCAACTGTTTATTTTTGTATGGTGTGTAAATTTGGAAACGCAACAATCGATTGGTATATTTGAATGTGCTCCACTCGATGTATGGTTATAAATGTTTTATTAACGATTAGTCTAGCATTTGTACTATTATTAGTAAATGACCGTATAGGGATGATTTATATTGACGAAGTCCTCATTGCCAATTCTTAGAAATAGAGATATGAACCGTGTTCTTTTATGTAGTGATACCAGTGAATTGTATCGACTGAATGTTCTCGCAACTATGGTACTGCATGGAGGTTTAAAATGTTAGTGGGAGCTCTGTACTCAAACGAATCCCCCTGTCTATGCATTACCCAGTGGGTGGAATGCCGGAAATTCTTCATGAGCAAAATATAAATGCGTATTAAATAAACGTCCGACATTTGTCAAATTCCTGTTGTGTTGTTGGTACTTCTGATTACTTACAAATTTGGAAAGCAGTCCCCTAATTTATGACCTAAAAATTTAAGATGGATATGAGACATTTTGTGTCTTTTGTGCAGAACCAGCAAATAATCTTGTCGCAATCGGGAATCGATATAAGTTAGACAGCCACTTGGGGCTTTGATTGGCTGTTTCATCCCACCGAGCTGTGTTGTGAGATTTATTATCCCTAGATATTGTCATTACTATGTTAGAAATCAGTTGTTTTAATTTCCATTTGAAATGGGAATGGTTAAGTAATACCTGTATCTTTATATTCGTCTTAGTCATGTTGATATTGCCATTGTTTACCTAAAGACATGTTATCAAACCATTTTTATACTATTGTGAATTGCAACCTAGACCGATCCTAATTTGTTAATTACTTGACTTTCGAAGTGGTACAATCGTGGGTTTTCGGTCACTTTTTAAGACAATGCAGAGAGGTGAATAATATTTTGAAGCGGAAGTGGTTTGTGAGATAGTTATCTAGTCTACGACTCCATATCTCACATCCCAAAGCCTTGAGAAAAAGTGTATGATGGCGAGATAGTATAACTGCTTCTAGTACTCAATTCTTGAATAGAGTTTATCAATTCGTCTGACTGAATGACAATAAGTCTGTCCCATACTACTGTTTGGTATTGGCTATTCATTTGTTTTGCGATGTTAAATTATAGATTTGCCGTGTTGGCGTTTTAGCTTTAAATATAACATTTAAAGTATGTGGTGTTTTATTAGTCATACCAGTTTCTCTTTTGTACCTTTTTTTCAAAATGCAAATGCTAGAGAAAAAATGATCGTTTACGTGCTTTTTGAAAAGAAATGATGTGCTGTGTATAGTTGCTACTTTCTTTCTAAACGAAATTACACATATGGTCATACCTATTTTTCGAATATTTAACCGGCCAATTCTTCGTACAACAAGCAATTAGATCATGATCGATAAAATTTGTGCAAGCATTGATTATAATCGACCGGTTACAATGTAAATACTGGAAATAGCCTTGGATTAGTCTCAGATAAATAGCTTAGAAATGCGAATTATACTGTTACTTTTTCTAGGCTTAAGCGAATGACGTAATCAATAGCTAAGAGTTGGCTTTACAATTAACTATAATAACTAAGTACATTTTACCTGTACGATTGAGCGTTGATTATTGATTTTGCGTTTGAGATTTCGATAGGTCATTAATCTCATTTTAGTCAAATACGATTTTCAGTATTTGATGATTTAAAGTTTTTTTCGCTTAATACACTTGTTTTCGAAGCAAGCTTACTTTCCTTATGTTAAAAAAACTTATACTTAGTTCCATCTTGAAGAATTTACCATACCTAGGAGTTACGGTTCAACTTTTATAGTGTTTGACATTCATGCACTTGGCTTTTCGTACTCTATTCCTACTTTAGTTCGATATGAGTTATATTATCACTATCTCATCCGAAACGCCTTGATTCTTAACCCAATAGGTGTGCCTATGCTTGTCAAGAAAGTTATATTGAGATATCAACCATACTATGGGAAAACGGCCTTGACGTGTTTATGCCATTTTCCTTGTATAATGTCAAAAGCTCTATTATTATTTAGTTTATTTGAAATGAACAATGTAAGGTTTTCTTCGAGAACTGAACAGTTATTTCTGCGTGGGCTATATCTCAGAAGTGATACCTGCCTGCGACTCCAAGTTTCGCATTGAGCATGATACCGTTTGATCTCTCCCTCCCTCTCGAAATGCTCTCACGCGTATACAGCCTCTTCCAGAGAAGTCCTACTCACTGCCTTCTCGCGGTGAGGGTGTTCTTCACGAAATTGAGAGGACGAAAAGCGAATATTCGGCGCTTTAACCGGGCCAGTGAGTCCACCTATGGGAGTTGGGAAACCCTGATTCCAAACCAACGGTGCACGTGGGCTGCAGTATCATGAGGTAACAAATGGCGTATGAACCTATTGTTGGTCACCGGCTACCATGGGACTGCATCTCCACACGATGCTTCACTGCCTTGTGGATCAGGTCGAAGGCTCCGGGTGTGGCCCCCTAAGAAAACCACCTACTTCGGTCTGGGCACCCGGGCAGTCTCACAGCACACACAAATACAATGAAATGACGATAATTACTTAGAATACTATTCTCGCCTCGATTAAAAGTCAGGCGATTGACATTCATTCCTCCTTTTTTAATACGTCACTTAGTTTCCATAGATATAGAGAGTTCATCATTAGCGTGTGGGCTGCGATATTGCCCTGGTGCCCAGACCGAAGCAGACGGTTATCTTAGTGGGCCACACCCCGAGCCTTTGACCTAAACGTCTAACCCACAAGGCAGTGGAGCATCGTAAGGAGATGCAGTCCCATGGTAGCCGGTGACCAACGATTGGTTCATACGCCATTTGTTCCCGCAGGATACTGGAGCCCATGTGCATCATTGGTTTGGAATCCGGTTAAAGCGCCGGACATTCGCTTTTCGTCCTCTCATTTTCGTAAACAACAGTAATGCCACGAGAAGGCAATGAGTAGAACTGTCCTGGCAGAGGCTGTATACGCGTGGCCGTGTGAAAGTATTTCGAGAGGGAGAGCGGACTCTCCCCACTCTCGGCTGTACCAGGGCTTTTGGGGGCTGACATCCAGTGGCAACACCATGTCAATAATGCAGAGGTTCGGCATCGTGTGTTCGGGCACAGAGATGATAATGCAATCTATGTCATCATCTTGAAACACCGACTTCGGTGGCTTGGACATGCTCTACGAATGTCGTCCCAGAGAATTCCACATCGTGCATTATTTGCCGAATCTGGGACTGGTTGGAAGAAGCGGAGAGGTAGTCAGTGCATGACATGGTGTCGTGGCATGAAAGAAAGCTGCAAAAGACTGGCTTGTGTCGGTCCTTCACGACTCCCTGGTTGGGGTCCGAGAGATAGTGCTACACAGTGGCTAGAGACGTTGTCAGATATGGCTCAGAATAGAAGCCAGTGGCGATCCTGCTGTAACCTTCTATTACTTTCTTCATAAAAAGTGGTTGTGCCTTCCTTAACTGAAAGATTTCTTCTGATTGTACCTTTCCGTTTCCTCATTATTACTATTATTAATACTACACTACCTTACACCAGCCTCTTCGTTATTCTCTTTTTTCTTCCTCTTCGAATTCTCATTGTTTTGTGTGGCGCATACATATTGGCGCTCTCTTGTACCAATATTTATGTGTTCAAATAAATAAATAAAAATACTACGTCACTTGTCCAATCTCTTTTATTCCCACTGTGTATCCTTATTCCTCAACTTATACAGCAGCTCTCCTATGGTGGAAACTGTCCTATCTAAACTATCACGAGTCACTGACTGGCCGAAAATTGAGTGCTACCGCCTAATACTGAAGGTTTTTCCGAGATCACGTGCACCATTCAAACTGGCTTACTTCAACTTTCGCACTCTAATGCAAACCAGACAACAGATAGGGCTGGCTATGTCTTTAGAAAGTCTTAATATTGGCGTCTGTTGGCTATCCGAGACTCGTATTCACGACTCTGGTGAAGTACTACGAATTCGCTCTCCATCTGTCGCTTCAAAAGGCTTGTTATACGTGCGTTTATCTGGAGACCCTGTGGTATCTTCGTCTGGTCTTGCTAGAGTTGGTGTCTCACTAAGTGCTAGAGCTGAGGCAGCACAGACCGATTGGGTACCCAATAACAGTTGGTTATGTGCTGTTAGATTATAAAGTTCCATCAAAGTAAGAAGAAATCAGTGTGAGGAACGATGTCTTTTCGACATCTCCGCCTATGCCCTGATAGATTGCAGCCCGGATGCAATCAAGGATGAAGTTTACCATCAGTTATCTGTTCTCCAGAAAGTGCGTTCGACAGATATTGTAGTACTAGTCGGAGACTTGAATGCTCAAGTCAGGCGTCTAGACACGTAAGAGAGTCGTTTAGGTGGCCGGTGGGGACTTGTTGGTCGCAGGACAGATAACGGTGACCGTCTACTGCAACTGTGCACAGACCACAGCCTGTTTCTGGTTAGCACTAACTTCCGGCACAGTCATCGCCGATGTGCCACCTGGCGTCCTCTCTCTGTATCTCAAGTCTGGACTCAGATTGATCACATCGTGAGTCTACTTCCCATTGCGTCCAAGCTATCGGCTTCCGTCATACTTCGTAGGTTGTTCAAAACCCGAGAAATATTGACTCGCAAGGAACAGGCTGGTTTTCGTTCTATTTAAGGATGTATTGATCATATCTTCACGCTCCGCCAAATGTTAGAACACCGTCATACTTATCAAAGGCCAACAATCGTAGTGCTTCTTGACATCAGGGCTGCCTTCTATTCGTTGGACAGGATTGTCTATTGAAGAAGCGCGTGCCTGAGAAGTTTATTAACATCCTAAAAGTCCTACATACAAATACCTCAGGCACAGTGAGGACATACAACCACCTTTCTCTATTGTTCCATTCAAGTAGTTGGGTTAGACAGGGTTGCCCGATCTTACCATTCCTCTTCAACTTTGCCACCGATGACATTCTGGAAGCAGTCTTTAAATACCATCTAATGCAACCACTGATCATCTTCAGACTCACCAATGTCCGCTGTTTCATAACCAACCACTAGGTTAGGTGGAGACTGAATGTGCGTTTATACCTACAACTTTTGGATAAGCTAATTCCTATACACAACAGTAAGTTCAACTGCTCATTTTGTTCACTTCTCCAGTTTGACTACTTCCGCTTGTTTCAATATTTTGTATCATTTTTGTACTAATTAAGTAAACACCTGAATAAAGTAACTCACAGTTTTGCAACTTTTTGCCTAATACTTTCCAAATTTAGATACTTGTTACATCTGTGATAGCTACAAGCTTCTATGCAGTAATAGACTGTTGCTAACCATTACTAACGGAAGCGTACAGGATTAAATTATGCTTTAGAAACTAGAGCAATCTGTTAAGTGCTGTACCTTTGATTGGTTTAAGTTCATCATCAAAAAATAGGTAAATTTTATATTTTTAAATAACTACCTAAATAGACTATTTGGAAGTTTAATATTATTTATAACTATTTATCTGGTCATTGTCGTTGAAAGTACCAAATATTAACCGGTAAAGACAAGAAAAGTTGTTACGGTATACTATTTCTTATTGACTATACAATTCACAGCCATCAACAAGATATAAGTGTAAAATAGAGAATTAAAAAGACACTTTACTGAAAGTTAAAACAGAAAGTATATATATATATATATATATATATATATATATATATATATATATATATATATAGACGACGGAGCTCATCTAGATTTTCTGCATTAGCATTCATAATTGAAAAGTTGAATACAGACCAAAAAACAGTAATTTTCTTGTGCAACAGCACAGTTAAGAGAGAGAATATCACGATAAATTATTATTTGAAACAGAAATCGGAGGTGGTATAGGTGGCAGTGGTGTACCATTTGTTTGTATGGGTTGACTTTGTTCAGTTGATAAATTTGAAATTGTGTAGATGGACGAAATATATTTTCCTGCAGACTGAATACTTGCAGTATTTACATGGTCTAGAGCTGGAATGTACCTAAGGATAGAGAAGATAATTATTAAGAATCAGGATGGAATATACTTAAATGACCACGAATAGAAATGTAAAGTAGTTCACAAGCTACACCTATATAATGAAGGCGAATAGCTTAATGGATTAAAACCAGCTGTCTAAGCCAACAAGCAACATCTCACTAATGACTATAATAGCGACAATAAATATATGACCTTGAAGCAAACGGTAAACGAATATGCAAGAATTATGAAAGACAGTAATATAGAATCCTTTTATTAATGTTTTGGATAAACGTTCTCCTGAACTGATGTATTTCGAACTGATTGGAATTCAAGTGACAAATTTATTTTGAAGATTCTATGTTTTCAAGCAGAAAGATTGACTTCGAAATGCAGATACTATAAGCAACTGATTAATTTTAAGTTTTCAAGTACAAAGTGTACTTCATCTCTAAATATAAACAACGAAATATTCCACACTATCACTAGAAAAATCGAGCAGAACTAAATGATTCTAATGAATTGCTTTCCTCTCAGTTACATCTAACAACTTAATGAGTACATAGAAAATAAGGTGTACTGAAAATGCAGCTGCCATCATCCTAGGTTAACATCACTTCTTAAAACTAATTGTTTACTAATCTATCCTAAAGTAGAGAAAAAAAATAGTGTGACCGTATTCCACATCATAGGTTCCCCATTGCCAATAATTGACTAGTTGAGCATTTCAGCGACTATTGTAGCAAATATTTTGTGATAAATAAACGGCAGGTAGTGAGAAAGGCCAAAAGCAGTCACTAAAAGTAACAGTCCCATTTGAAAAGCATAAGAACAAACTTAGAACACACGAGCGCGAAAAACATAACGAATAAAGATAAATACACCAGACGAACATCTCCGATTTCCTTTTTTGTTCACGGCATACTTTAGACGGACGAAATTGCTCCCGAAATCAGAAAACTCCGAAGTGGTCTCACGTTAAACATTGATTCATCCAAGATGGTGTGTGTAAGTCATTTCATAGCGAGGTTCCATAATTATACTTCGGAAGTCGTCCACGTTTATTTGCGGACGCACCATTGGCAGTTTATCCATTTGCAAATATAATACTACAGGTGAATGGTCTCTCAGTATTAAATGTCTCTCGAACTACCGGGCCTTATTTTTACAAAACTATGTCAAATCACTTAGCTAAGAATAAGGTCGATTAGCGCCGCCTGTCAACCCGAAAGCAAGTGACAAGTGGTGTAAAATCACCCTCTGAATGAATATCAACGGATGAAGGGTGGTTGTATGAAGTGTTTGATAATTTCCGGCCATGGAGTCGTTTTTCGTTACTTTCTTCCGCAATAATGTCATTTCAATTCAATGCTATACATTTCTAGTGTCCTACCATTTTCCGATTTATGAGAGTCAGTCAGTCAGTCAGTCAGTAACAACGTAGAACTTCGTACGTACGTACATCAGTTCGAGTTGCCACACCACATTAGCACAGAGATGCACTTGTCGATTCAAATCCCGTAGTGATAGAGGTAATAAGAGTATAAGCAGTAATCGGGAAGATTGGGGTTTGGAGATGTTATTTAAAGAGTATAATCCAGTGAAATAAATTTGGAAAGAGAAAAAAAGGGATACGAAGAATTCAGAAGATTAGAATTTGGGAGAACACAGAAAGTGGATGCACCTGCGCCATTGCAAACGATTTTGAGCCATGTCATTCAGGGTCTCTAACCATCGGTTGCTGTCATCTCGCGGTCCCCAACCAGGTAGTCTACACCTACCAACATAACTCAGTTCACTTGTCAGTGACTTCATGGACTTGTGCCATGTTTTGGTTTGGCCGCCCCTAGCTTTCTTCCAACCTACTCCTATACCACTGAACATAGCACGTCGAGGCAGTCGGTCGTTGGGCATACGTAACACGTGTCCCAGCCATCTCAACTGATGAAGTTTCACTACGTCATCAATTGATTTGCCATCCTTACCTAGTACCCGTTTCCTAACAACTGTGTTACTTACTCGATGGTCCCATGATATACGAGCAATGTTTCGAAGACACCTATGATCAAATACTAGTAACCTACGGATATCCTCTACTCTTACCGGCCATGTTTCACTGTCATAAAGTAGGACGGAACGAACTGCTGCGCAGTAAACACGTCCTTTGGTTGATAGACGGATATCTCGCCTACGCCATAAATGACGCAAGTTGGCAAAAGCTAGTCGAGCCTTCTGTATCCGTGCTGAGATTTCGTCACACACCAAACCACAAGGGCTGATGAGACTTCCAAGATAAGTGAAGCGGTCGACACACTCAACTACTTCACTCCCTATCACTAGTTCGGGTGTCGATGTAACCCAATCCTGAAGCAACATTTTGCATTTCGAGGGAGAGAATCGCATCCCGAACATGCTTGCATTGTTGCTTAGAGTGGTCAGAAGACTCTGCATTTTGTCAGCGTCTTCACCAAATAAAGCTATGTCATCTGCATGTTCTAAGTCAACAAGTGAACCTCCTGGTAGAAGTTCAACCCCTGTAAATTTAGATGAGGAGAGTGTTATCTCTAAAAGTACGTCAATGACAAAGTTGAACAAGAATGGAGAGAGTGGACAGCCCTGACGAACACCACTTGAGGTGATCAATTCTGATGACAGTTCGCCATAAGCTCTCACTCGACCAGTTGTGTTTGAGTAGAGAGCCTTTATAAGGTTAATGTACTTCTTTGGTACTCCTTTCAGTGACAAACACTGCCATAGAACCTCACGATCAACGGAGTCGAATGCCGCCTTAAGGTCGAGAAATACTACGATTGTGGGGCGTCTGAATGTGTGTCTCTGTTCTAGAACCTGACGTAGTGTGAATATCTGATCGATACAACCACGTCCAGGTCGAAAACCAGCCTGGTTTTCTCTAGTCTGCTCTTCACGAGCTTTAGTTAGGCGTCGAAGTATTATTGAGGCTAATATTTTAGACACTATATTAGTCAAACTGATTCCTCTGTGATTGTCACAAGAGGACTTTTGTCCTTTCTTAAAAACTGGCACAATCAGTGATTGAGACCAGTCAGATGGGATTACGTCCAGTTCCCAAATTCTACCTAAGACCTCGGTTAATCTCATTGCTAATACTGGACCACCATCCTTAAAAATCTCAGGAGTAAACCTGTCAGGGCCTGCTGCTCTCCCTCGTTTCAGATTTCCTATGGCTTTTTCAACTTCGTAAAGGGACGGAGGACTTACATTAACTTGCCATTCAGGTTGACTGGAGATCGTGGGAAACCGAAGTGTGGCTGAAGGCCAGTTGAACTGATCCCTAAAGTGTTCTGCCCATCGATCCAATCTCCTGGATTGAGAATGAATAATATGTCCATCTTTCTCTGAGATTGTTTCGCTAACGGTCGGGTTCCTAATTCCGGTTTCCTTAACGAGTCTAAACAATTGTCTGCTATTACCTATTGCCGCTGCCTTTTCCATCTCTCTTGCTTTCGCTACCCACCACTGTTCGCGATCATTGCGTAGACTTCTTGTCAGCTTGCGCTTAAGCTGACTCCGCTCTTCATTATGTTCAGAGCCAGGTGGAATGAGTTTTCGAGCATCTATCAGTGCGATAGATGCTGCTGAGATCCAGTGTTGCTCCCTAACTTTACGGTTTACCTTACTAGCAGATATCACTGCTGTTTCCACAGCTTTTCGGATATCGTTCCATGCTGCCTCAGGGTGGGCATCACTTACATGGCTGCCTAACTGTTTTCCCAGTTGTTCCTGAAATATACTCATAGCTTGATTATCATTAAGTAGGCCCCTAAGAGGTTTCCTTGCAGCGTCTTTCCTACGTCCAGTAAGACGCAAGCAAATACGCGCTCGCACTAGAGCATGATCTGAATCTAAGCATGTGCTCCAGAATGAGCGACAGTCTTCAATCGAGCCCCTCCATCGGTGGCTGATAGCGATGTGATCTATTTGGGTCGAACGTTGGGACGAATTAGGGGGTCGCCATGTTAAAAGATGTTTTTCTTTAGGCTTAAAGTTAGTATTTGCAAGGAACAGACGGTTATCTGAGCATAGCTGCAACAGACGGTCGCCATTATCTGTTCTTTGAGCCACGACACCATAGGATCCACCTAGGTGTCTTTCCCTATCGCTTAGTTTACCTACTTGAGCATTAAAGTCACCGGCCACTATTACTACATCCGAGCGCTTAGCTTTTCGGAGAAGGTCCGAAAGCTTTCTGTAAAACTCATCTTTTACATCATCTGAGCTGCAGTCAGTGGGAGAATAGGCTGAGACGACGAAGAGGCAACGACGAGTGTCCCTATCTTTCCGGATTCTTACTGTTCCGTTCAGTCGGACAGCGCACAAACGACTGTTTACTGGGATCCACTCTAAGAGAGCTAGTTCTGCCCTAGGACTCAATGCTATGAGAAGCGGCTTGAATAAGTAATACGCTACTTAAAACTACGTCTACAGAGATCACTCACAGTCGAGAGTTTAAATCGATACCTTTAGAATACATAAGTGTTCAAACCCATTTATTCACTCAACCCATTATCCTTGGACAACAAAATGGCTCAGTGCTCTAGAAGTTAAGCATTCGCGCACGGAACCGAAGGCCCCGTGTTCGAATCTCGCGTGCGAGATCGTGGATGCGCACTGCCAAGTCCCATACGAGGACGAAACAGCCGTTTAGTGCTCCCAGGTTTTCCAAGACGATCTAGTTTAAACAGACTCATGAATTCAACCATTAAAATGGAAAGTATTTAAAACATGGTGACGTACCTGTTAGCCAATTGAGAAGCATTGTTGTGTATATCTATCGTAAATGAAACTACGGAAGGTGAGGCTGATACTTGTCTTACGGGTGGTGGCTTACAAATATTCAGCCGAACCAGAACGTTGAATACTGCACTAGATACTACAGAGACAGGTGGGCCTAAATGATTTGGAAAAAATCTGGGTCATGAAGATAAGACAAAGTTAGTCTTACCCAGCAAACGTGAAGCTATCATCCACATCGCCAAGTAGTCCATTACTGTGTCTTTGAAAGAAACGCAAGTAGGTCCACGCAATAAAAATCCCGGTTACAAAGAGAGAAAAGGATATGCCAGCACAAAACCCAATGCTGAATAAAACAGCGAAGGAAAGAGCAGATATGAATGGTATGTGTTTATAGCGTATTTTTCCTAAAGGAAAATCGATCAAGAGCTTATCTGACATCATCTGGCGGCCTAATACAGTGACGCCACCCAGAAGTGCAACAAGACCGCAAACAGGATATAAAAATAGCACACTTTTGTCATACATGACAAGAGATATTAGGAAAAGAAATAAAGAAACAGAGACAGAAGAAGAAGAGTTCACCAACACACTAAATCGAAGCAGCTCAAGCCATTTGTATGGACCGGATAGTAATTTGTCCATAAGAAACACAGTCAGAATATCCAATAAGAGAAGTGTGAGTGAAAAGTTGTAAAACGAAGACGTAAAAAGTGTCCAAAGCCGAAAGTAAGGTGGTAGGAGGTAACCTCCGATAATGCAGAAGTACGAATTCATGTTAGGGATGAAGGATAAAGAATAGCATATACATTGTATACAAATCACAAACTTCGTTTGCCATCGGCAATTACAGACTCTGCCATAACGAAGAGCTGAAGCAATATTCATTGTCATTTAGTTTAGACTTCTTAGCCTAAACTTCCTTCAGGTAAAACCTTAACTCACACATCGAAGATCATGTCACCTTGAAATTTAAAAGTCGTGGTCACCCAAAACTACGAGTTTCCAATTTCCAATATAGTTAATTGAAGCACTCGAGAAAATTTCATTTATCTGTACTTATGTCCATATATTGAAGTACGAATCTAGAAACATGTTGCTGTTAACTTCTATTAATGCGGATGCTTCCTTGAGGTGGTTTCAATGGGTTCGACATGTAGTTATTGTATTATGTATTAGTTAGTGTTAAGAAAAACTTAGTTGTTCAGTTTATGATATTAATTAGATTACGTCAAAGAGATTAAAATTTACTGCGTATTTATCAGAAGATGAATATAACCATGAGGGATTACGATCAATAAGTCATCAATGATTTGATAGTAGGTGTAAGAGTCTGCTCCCTTTCACGTTTCCATAAATTCCAACCCATTTAATACTTCGTTCACTTGGTCGGTGGTCGCTCAAACATCTCGATAACACGGGTTATTTGACGTCACAAAAAAATGAAACTGGCATAACTGAACGATATTCGCCTCTGGACGTGTCGTTTCAGTTAATGTATTTCGAGAATTATCAAACGAGTTTTTTAATCCGCCTTACGATACTGACAACCAACCAGATCTAAGTAAAACGTGTCCCGGCATTAATAAAGTAAAAATAAGCAAACGAGCAGAAGTTTGTGTTGTGTTGATCAATTTAAATGTTTAAGAAATATTCACATAATTCAAGTGTAAGTAATCGTTGTTAACATAGTAAGCAATGGAATAAATTAACCGGAACGTAACACAGAGTTCAGGTTCACCTATTAATTACTAGTTCACCTGAGACAACTAATTGCACTTCATACCGAGACCGATAGCTCCTGTGTTCGAATCTCGCGGGAGGGGGGGTGGCAGAATCGTGGACGCGCACTGCTGAAGAATGCCATACTGGGACGAAACGGCCTTCCAGTGCTTCAAGGTTTTCCATGGTGGTCTACCGTCAATTCACTCATGCTTTCAAACACTGAAGTTACTAGAATCTTTACAAAACCATTTCAGATACCGAGTAATCTTCAAAATATTCTCCAAAGTGGCATCGCGTCCAAGTTACACATCAGATTCAATCTCCGCATAATTGTGCTAGGATTTTGGTCGTGCTAAGTATTTGCGCATTTCAACTTTTTAAGTTTATAGTTGTTATAAAGTGTTCTTGTAGAGCGCTGGGTGTGAATTGCGACCTTGAGACACAAGTGCGTCTATTTTGTTCCAGATGTCAGAAGTTCCATAGCTGTGCTCTCAGAGCATGATTCTGAAAGAAAAACTATGTCTTTTATTGTCTGACTTTTTCATTCGATGCCTGCCACGCAGTCTTAATGTAAAAGTTCGAGTTAGCATGTTGTAGTTTGTTTTAGTAAACTAGCTAATCCTGAATAAAATTGGAAACATAGGTCTGAATGGTTAGCGTAGAACAACCTCAATATCACAGATTGATTGACTTGTTCCCAAACATAAAGAGCCTGGTACAAACAAAATGTTCTGCTTCACAAACATGGGCGGACTGAAGTCGCCATCAATGCTTACTGATCAGCAACTCCACTAACCCTACTTTTGTGATGTTAGGCTCATTTAAGATTATTTTTTGGATATATATCATACCTCACACAATCCTCTGAGTTTCATATCCTGTTGGAAAACACTATTTCCATAAGTACCATATTACAAACTTATCATGCAGTTTCAAATTATGGACTGCGTGAAGGCCAACGATGCAATGCTTTAATTGATTATTAATTTGATATAAGTTGATTAGTGACATAAGTACTTGTAATAGATGGTATCTTGTGAAGATGCCACATTATTTGGAGTTTGAAATTGCTTTGAACAGTAACGCCTACCCTTATTAGTCGTAAACACCAAGTGAAATCAAAAGACAGAAATGAGGAGGTTCGAAAAGATTTTTGATAGGCTATCAATATACCGAGAATCATCTGATCTAGACTGGCTAGTGATTGCAAGAGATGTTGAGGATGGTGTTCCCACTCGTGATCTGGTGCGGATACATGACTGAGCGCCTTGAGCCAGGTGAGTCCGTTAAAACTAATGTGGTCAGCATTCAATGTCGAAGACTTACAGAGCTATTTATTTTGGTGATTTATTTACCGCCACACTTTCTTACAGGTTGAGATTCTTCGACAGAATATTCACTCAAGAAAGTACTATTTTCGATAAGGTTTAAGTTACGTTCTTTGACACACCTAAATAATTGTTGGTTTAATAAATAATTCCCAACGAACGGACATTTAAAATACTGGTTGCTACGCCCTTGATCTGTCTACCAACAATATGCAGGAGAAATGCGTGAGTCTGAATTGAGACTAACGGTCTTGCTGTAGAGGGACGAAAATTATTCTATAACCTGATTGATGAACAGGTACGAAAGTGAGAAGACAAGTCAACTGGAACACTACTCGATCTACCCCCAATGCCGATACCCCAATCGCGATTCAGAATAGTGTAAAAAGATACATGAATAAATAGATTACTAACATGACGACAAGGCACAAACAATTTGACAATACAATTATGTCCAGAACAAGGCATTGTGATAATAAAATAGGGTACCAAAGGTTACGTTTAAATTACAACAGTTTTGGAATGGAAAAGAGTATAGCAACAAACCATATATCAAAAGAGAGCTTGTAGTTACTAGAATAAATCATGGACAAAACTATAAGTGTTTCGCAGACTTTGAATTAAATTAAATAACTTTTTCAAAACTAGTTTCCGTTGTTGGTCATGGCTTCCTTTGTGGTGGATCCCAGTAAAAAAGCTTAGTCAAGATATAACAGTACTCACAGTTACTAATGATATAACAAAAAGAGTTATCACCACAAATCGAAGTGTCTGTTTATGAGTAAAGCAAAACGGTAACAAATAACACAACATAATGATATATTCAATAACAGATTGATAACAATTGTTGTGGAATAAATGTGACTTACAAGCTCATTTTAACTCTGCCTGGAGCCTCTTTGGAGCTACTGAAGTCTCAAGCCCGGATAAAGAAGGAGGGTTAGCAACCACATCCCGCAGAAAAGTAACTCGCCAAATGAACTCTAACCAGAAAAAAATATTCAAACCAATTAAAATCTGCCCTGGGAGTCAGAAGGTCTTCACTTAGAAGAATTATGACGACTCATGATGAAAGCCGAGTTCCTTCGGAAGTTACGAGGTCAATGCCCCTTCTGACAACCAGAGCAACCATTTATTTAGGTACATGGAATGTTCGTACAATGTGGGACACCGGGAGAGCCTTCCAAATTGCTGCAGAGATGAGGAGATACAACCTAGATGTGCTTGTGTTCATTGAAACACACTGGACGCAAGTTGAACAACAACGACTAGCTTCAGATCAACTTCTGTTATACTCTAGCCATGAGAAACAAAATGCCCCACATACACAAGACGTCGCATTGATGCTATCAAAAAAGCACAAGAAGCACTTATAGGATGGGAATCTGATGGACCAAGGATAATCAAAGCCTCCTTCAAATCAAAGAAAGAGGGCATTTCAATGAACCTCATCCAATGCTATGAGCCTACCAACGACCACAATGAAGACGCTAAAGACCGATTCTACAATAGGATGCAGTCAATAATCGAGAACTTCTCGACAAACGACTTGACCATTCTGGTGGGAGATTCACATGCCAAGGTCGGAATGGACAACACCGATATGAAGACATCATGGAACGACACGGACTGAGAGGAAGGAACGAGAATAGTGAGAGATTTGCAAACCTATGTGCCTTCAATAAACTGGTCAGTGGGGCCATATTTTCACGTAAAGACATACACAAAACCACATGAACTTCACCGGAACACATTACACAAACCCAAATCAACCATATCTGCATCATCAAAAAGTTCAGGAGGACGATGAAGGACGTGAGAACCGAGAGGAGCTGATACAACATCAGATCATCACTTGCTGGTCGCCAAGGTGAAAATAAAACTCAAGAACTATCCGATGGTGGGGCGGACAACAGCACAAAATGGTAATACGGCTTTTCTCCAGGATACTGACAAACTCAACAAATTCAAGATAGTCCTCAGCAATAAGTTCCAGGCCTTTCATGATCTACCCAATGAAGATGGAACTAGTATTGAGAGCAACTGGAAAGAGATAAAAGAGGCTATCACTTCAACATGTAATGAGGTTCTGGGCCGCAAGATGCACCATGACAAGGAATGGATCACTGTTGAAACACTGGATAAAATTCAAGAAAGAAGGAACAAGAATGCAGCGATCAATACCAGCCGAACAAGAGCAGAAAAAGCCAAGGCATAAGCTGAACACACGGAAATAAACAAACAAGTGAAGAGGAGCATCAGTCTACAAGTTAGGCGTTCGCGCACGAGACCGAAGTCCTGGGTTCGAGTCCTTTTACATCCGTTTAAAGAAATACTAGTGTTGTATAAACGTTTTTAATAGTTCATTTTTGTTGTTTAAACAAATATGAAATCAAATTAAAATATCAAATAATGCTAATGAATTATTTTCATTATATTAATTTAAACCATATTTAAAGAATTTATGAATCAATTTTCTTTTATTTGCATGTCTATCACACATAGTTCATTCATAATCTTAATGATTTTTGTTAACTATCAGCTTTGAAAGGTAACAATAGCAACGTTTCAGATCATTTCTAACTATATAAACACACTAAATAAATGAATGTGACTTTCATTTTGCTTCATATAAGAGTTTTGTAAATACTTGACCTAACTTTCTGTAAATAAAAAATCTTCGGTCTTAACCAATGTATTTTGTGAAAACCTGGTCACTATAATCACTAATCTAATCTAAAATAATAAACTGATAATGAGAATTTCATATTATTATTTTCGGTGAATGGTATTGTAGATGGATTGTGTGTAGTAAACAGATTTGACTCCTTTTTTATTCAG